ATCTTTTACAACATACTCTTTATGGATTGGGACCGGGTTATGAGTCGCTTGTTGGACCGCTTACACTCTTTCCTGAAGGCCTCACCTTTGACAAATTATGCACCAAGTTGGTACATCAAGAGGCACGATTACAGTATCAACAATCTTTTAGAATCATGAGTTGGTGCCCCTGCTTTTTCGGCCAACACATCGGCAGGGGGAAATCAGGCCGTGGCCAATGCTGCCACACATCAGCAGGCTTATCGGGGTGGCCGTGGAGGTCGCCGTGGCCGCGGGCGTGGGCGTGGGCGTGGCCGAGGCCGTCAGCAGCCGTCGGCGAACGGTCAGCAGTTTCTAGCCCATGGTCAGCAACCCCAAGCGTACAGACAGCAGCAGCAGTTCGGTCAGCGCCCTCCATTCCAGCAGCATCAGCAATTCGGTCGCTGATAGCAGTATACTCCGTTTCCAGGGCAACCAGGTACAGTATTTTGTAATACAGTTCTATCATCGTTTTATACTCCTGCATCATCTACTTTTTGTACTAACGATGCTTCTGTAGGATTCCCGTCTTTTGAGAATAATTTTGGTTCCGTTCCACCACCTGTTGTCTGCCAAATCTGTCATTCTCTATGTCATTCTGTTGTGTCATGTCCTTCTCGTTTTGCTCAGTCTTCTACTCCTGCTTTAGCTGTCCCTACCGGTGAATCCACCCCAACTGTTTGGTATCCTGATTCTGGTGCTTCCGCTCACATGACCGCTAATGAAGGTATTTTAGTCAATAAATCTGTTTATTCTGGACCACTTTCTATTACGGTTGCGAATGGCTCTACTTTACCTGTTAAGACTATTGGTGATTTGCATTTGTCCACTATGCCCTGGTCTCTCCATTTAAAATTGGTTTAGCATGTTCCTCATATTAAATATAATTTATTGTCCATTAAAAAATTAAGTGCCGATAATAACTGTTTTGTGCTCTTTGATAAAAACTCTGCTTGTGTTAAGGACAAAATTTCGGGGAAGGTGCTTCTTCAAGCTTTCAATAATAGTGGTGTCTACCCTATATCCCTTTCTGCCAGTTCGCCTGTTGGTCTAGCCTCCCATGTTGCCCCTGGACCAGTCTGGCATCGTCGCTTTGGACATTGTGGCAATCGTATTTTAGATTGGCTTAGGAAGTCTGGCACTATTCTTAGTACTTCGAATTTTTCTCATGATTGTATTTCTTGTCGCTTAGGAAAATCACAACGATTACCTTTTCAAGAAGTTTGACATAAATCTACTGCTCCTTTATTTTTAATTCATTCGGATGTTTGGCAATCTCCTGTTTTGTCTTCCAGTAGCTATAAATATTATGTTCTTTTTATTGATGATTTTTCTCGTTTTACTTGGCTTTATCCGATGCGCCGTAAAAGTGAAGTTGTGACCCACTTTCGAAATTTTAAGGTAATGGTGGAAAATTTATTAAACTCTAAAATTAAAATTTTTCAAAGTGATGGAGGGGGTGAGTTTGATAATCATGGTATGCATGAACTTTTTCTTAGCAATGGCATTTTGTTTAGGAAATCTTGTCCTGACACTCCTGAACAAAATGGCGTAGCTGAACGTAAACATAAGCATTTACTTGAACTAACTCGCACTATGCTTCTTGAGGCGAATATGCCAGCTAAGCTAGTTTTTGGATAGATGTTGTGTTTACCGCTACCTATATTATCAATCGCCTCCCTACTCCCAACTTAAATGGCGCTTCTCCTTTTGAAAAATTATTCCATCATTCTCCCGACTTCTCTTTTATGCGTGTATTTGGTTGTGCTTGTTTTCCAAATTTCATTGCCACCTCTGCAAATAAATTGTCTCCGAGATCGACTTTGTGTCTTTTTGGGATATGCCCCTGATTACAAAGGTTATAGTTGCTTAGATCGTATTAGTGGCAAGATCTACATCTAGGAACGTTCGATTTTACGAAGATATTTTTCCATATTCAGCCTTGACTTCTTCCTCTAAAAATAGGGTGTTGCCACAAGTGTCTCCACCTAATACTGATGATTTTCAAAAATCATGAGTACAATTCTAATTATGCTCCTATGTATAATTTCTAATAGATAATACATTTCAAAAATCATGAGTACAATTCTATACATTTCAAAAATCATGAGTACAATTCTAATTTCTAATCATGGCAAAAACTTTCCATAATTGTAATCTTTGAAATGTATTATCTATTATCTATAGAAGATTTATGTACCTTACAAACACTTAATTGTTTTGAAATAATGATTTTTTGGATTTAAATCGAGAATGTTGTAGACTACTTCCCCTTTTTGGAAAATACGCACATTTCTAAGGAATTTGTACGTTCAACATTACTCCAACTTCTTGATTAGATTGAGATTTCAACCTGCGGCCACTTTCACAAAATGTTAGGCTATTTTTATTAAACTGACACGTACTTAAAGCAATGGTGTAATAACATACTCGTATTGATATTTTTGTAGTGCCATAACTGCCATTCCATTGTTTAGTTGTGTAAAACGACATGTTCTAAATTAATTACAAATTTTTTTTGTAGAGGAATCTATCAATAATGTCATCATCAAATACATCTGTGAACGGGCCAAGGCGTGAGCGTGGAAAAGAGGTAGTACTTCAATTATTGGCAGACAGAAGGAGGATTCAAGAGTTAACAACTTATACTACGTATAAATAACTTTCGGATGAATACCCTATGGGAGATGGACAAAAAGCTGCTATGTATCAAGTTGAAAGGGAACAACATAGGGTGATTGATCAAGAGCAAAAAAGAGAAGTGATACTAGCCAATCAATATGGCTTGAGTAATGCGATAATACAAGATGATTTTGCTCTCCGATCTTTTGTGGCCGAGTACTTTCCATATTAGTCATTAACAATGCTTCAAATTGATAAGTGATAATCTACTACTCACTTATTAGCAATAAGTAATAGACTAGTGCGAGTAGTACTTTTTATATTTATAGTTAATTATTACTTTATAATTAGTTCGAGCTGTTTTTGGTACGTAGTGCACTTGATTAATTATAAATTTTTAATTTTATGTTTGCCATCCACATATATCTATATGAATACGAGTATAAATTTGGTATTGTCTATGTCAAAGGGCTTGTTGAATGTTTCTACGAATCAAAGCATCAACCAACCGGAGATTGAATTGAAATCTTCAAAGCAATGAAAACATTAAAAAGAATGAATAAACATAAAATATATGAAACTTTTCATGAGTTTCTTCACAGCAATAGACACAAAATATAAACATTTTCTGTATATGAAATATGAAACTTTTGATGAGTTTCTAGAACAACGTCGCTTCTTAGTATATTGCTTGAAACCACACATTGGTTCGTATGATGCCATTATTATATAATCCATTAGGGATTCCCAATTACGATTCCAATTTCTAAGTTTCACAGCATTGTAGATTTGTACAACAAAACCTTGAATCAAATAACTACTCAAGAACGAAGTCTTAATTGGTAAAAAAGATAAAGTAATTCTAGTGATTTAATGCAATATAAATAGGTAGCGTAGAGACTTCTAATACCAAAATTTTCATTAGACCAAATATCCACTACGGAGTGGAAATGTGTGCTTTGACCTTTTCTTATTTACACTTTTCCCGGTGATTATTTCATGTTTTTGAATCAAACTGATCTACTTTATCATGTAGTTGGCGTGCAAGGATCAACAACTCTGAATATGGCCTCGGTGGATCTGAGGATTTAAAAAGAACCTAGCTAGAAAGATCAAACGTTGAGATATACTCCGTAATATAAAAGTTGCAACACTAATATATACGGAGTAATATAATCAAACTACTAAGTACTAGTATAAAATACTATTACTACTATTAAATTTCTATCAATATAATTTTCATAATATTACTTTTTATAATGTTTAATTACTAATACGTAATCAATTATAACAACAGTCAAAATTGTGTGTTGATAAATGTGAAAGTCAAATTGTTGAGCCTTTTAGAAAGGGAGGAATGTGGATATTATATCTCAGATCAACTATACTAATGAGAAAGGACGAACTTACATTACAATTTATAATATTTTAGATTTTAAGCATTTAAAAAGAGGTGACAACTCCGGTACCTTTCTAAAATATGGGGTACCGTACCTATCATTCATTTGATTGGACCACATCACTTTATCATTTTTAATTTAGATTTAAATAATTCAACTGCTACATTCTCATTGATTCATATGAACAAAAGTACAGTACCTTATGGGTACCATAGAATCTACTTTAAAAAGAATCTAGAAAGATCAACTAAAGCTTCTCTTCAATTCTACTGGACAATATACAGTCACTACACCTCAATAAAAATAATCACTTATCATTTAAGTTCATATGACGAACGAGGCAACATTTTCTAACATTTTTGTTAACCACAATGCTTCATCGTCGAAGTGTATAACCGCAGGTCCTTAACTAAGATTGCATTATAGGTCCAAAATTTTGCAAGTCTAAGACAAGTGTCCCATTTAATTTAATCCGTGAACAGCGGGGCCGGCCCCCAAAATGAGCATGTTCACATTTTAAAAAGAGGATGACATCCCATTTCCTTCTCAAACTCTTCTTATCAACAGGACAATTAACTAAGAGAATACCCTCTCCGTCCCAAAATTATTCTCTCGTTTAATTTTTCACACAGATTAAGAAAATGACACTGTAGCGACACTGTTTGGCACTGTAACAATATTGTTTGGCACTGTAGCAACACTATTTGACACTGTTTTGCACTGTTTGACACTGTTTGGTATAGATTTGTTTACCAAATAAGGAAGGTAAAGAAACGAGACAATTATTTCGGGACGGACCGAAAAGGAAAGCGGGACAATAATTTTGGGACAGAGGGAGTATAAAATAGACTTTAATCATTAACTGACAGATAGAGAATGAAATTCTGATTAAGTAGTTGCAAAAGCTTAATGAACTTTCGCATAATAAACTATAATCAATTGACATGATTTGAGACTTACCTTTATAACACCATAGATGTTGAGCTACATCCACCCGCTCTTCACATTTTTTCAAACACCATATATTGGTGCGTGCAATAATGGATCGAGTATTTATTGTAACTTGATCTTAGTTGTATTTCCAACCATAACAATAATGAATTAATGATCATCATGTTACGGTCCATATGTTAGTATGTTACATACTGTCCATAGAAATTGTGCGAAAAGAGAGTATGCATAATATATAATTAAGAAAACAATGGGAAGTAATCCAATCATGCAACACGTGTTGCTACTCTTATATATAAAAATATAAAACTTCTAACTAATCACGAAAACCTACTTGTATTAATCACAATTGTTAATCAGAGTTTGTCGTCCTAGTTACCTTAGGTCCTTAACTAAAAATGCATTATGGGCAAGGCTAGCATAAATGCATCATGACATGTGTTACCATGCTAAAAAGGTAAAAAAGCTACAATGCGTTATGGGTCAGAAATTTTGCATTGGGGTATACTACGTAACTAAGAGACGTGTCCCATTTAATTCAATCCAAGGACATCATCGGGACCAGGCCCTCAAAATGAGCATGTTCACATTTTTCATCCGTCAAGGGTTGAATCCTCAATACTAGGGCTTAGGGGTCCCCTACGCCCTGCACCAACAAGGTATATAGAAGTTCTAAATCAAATAATTGAGGGCGTGTTTAGTTAGCAGATAGCTAGCGGATAACGGATTATATTAGCAAGTTGTTAATAGCGTATCAGTAACGAGTTTGACTAGCGGAATAAATTCGCGGTTTGTCAAAATATATTTGGTAATTTAGCTGTTTTGTCATAAAAATTAGTAAGAAACATCATTTATTGAAAACGCTAACTCAAAACATTTCTATTTGCAGCGTTTTAATTTCAGCAGTTTCGTTCAAAAACGCTAGGACTGAACAGCTATATACCAAATTCTCATTTATTGAAAACACTAAAAAGGGGTCAAAAATCAACACCCCTCAATCAACTCAATAGTTATAGATTTTATAGTTTATACCATAGGCACTACATATCCAGAGATCAACACAAAAAAATCGTAATTTTCACACGGCCGTTACGGACTTTGATCGTATTCACATTTTTCAAACTCCATTTATTTTACTGTCAAGAAATATTACGGGTACATATTATAATTATTACAGGTTAGGGTTATATTAATATACCACATACATGTTACAGGTATTATTTCTCAAATTATAAAGGAGTACTATTATACAGAGTAATATACTCCGTGAAAAAAATATTAAATATGGAATAATCCTAAATTAGAATACATATTCCAAAAATGTACATATATAATTATTACATATTACATATATAATTACATATAAAATTTACAAAATATGACACAAAGGCTCACGAACCGGCTCGCGAACCACGGGCCTAAAATAAATAGGCTTGAATTGAGTAGACCTGCACAAAAGCGGGTTCGGGTCGGGCTTTTCATAGGTTTTCTGCCCATCGTGTGTGGGCGGCCCCGGCCCCGCCAAAACGGGTCTAGCCCCATGTCCATACCCGCCTGTAAGAGCGGGCCGGGTAGTCCACTGGGCCGCCGGGCCCAGGAAAACTTTAAATTTTACAAAATTATATAATTTATTTAATACTTTATAAATAATATTACAACCTTTAAAAAATTGCTAATACGCTTATAATGTATATAGGCCCTTCATCACATACACAAAAAATATTTACACAAAAATAATAATGAGAAACTATATCTAAAATTTAAAATTCATGCACAAAGTATTATCTTTAAGTACAAAAATAGATATTATATTGGTTGGACTATTTGTTAAGAACTAAAAACTTAAATTTAAACACAATAAACTATAAATATGTATACAGATAAATTAGTAAATATAAAAATATACATGTGTACATGTAAATAAATACATAAATTAGTATATATAAAAATATATATGTATATATACTAAATGTAGCGGGCCTACACCCTAACCCAAGCCCGCCCATATGTTGTTGTGGGCCGGGCCCGGCCCAGGCCGGTGGGTAAATATATATGCCCAAGCCCGCTAATTTGTGCGGGCGGGCTGGGCGGGCCGGGCGGGCCGGTTTTGTACAAATCTAGAATTGAGCTTGTTAACTATTCGAGTTGAACTTAATATGATCGAACTCGAGTCGAGCTTTTCCCGAGCGATCCACGAACGGCTCGCGAGCGGCTCGCGAGCGGCTTGGCTCATTTACCCCCTATTTCTACGTATCAAAGCACCAACCGAGATGGAATTGAATTCTTCAAAGCAATGAAAATAATGAATAAACATAATGGGCATTTTACGAAACTTTTTACGAATAAATTATCACGCATATGCGGCGTTACATTTTGTGTATATGAAACTTTTCATGAGTATATTGGTTGAAACCACACATTGACTTCGTAGCATGCCATTATTGTATTTCCCATTAGGGATTCACAATTAGTATTCCAATGTCAATGTTTTGACATATTCAGAAATAAGTCTAAATTCGTAAAAAGAAAAAAAAAAAGTAAATCTAGTCATTTAATAATGCAATATACTACGTAAATAGGTAGCGTAGAGACTTGTAATACCAAAATTTTCATTAGACCAAATATCCACTACAGAGTGAAAATGTGTGCTTTGACCTTTTTATTTACATTTCCCCGATGATTATTTCTTGTTTTGAATCAAACTGATGTACTTCATGTAGCTGGCGTGCAAGTATCAACAACTGTGAATATGCCTCGGATGATTGGCTGATCTGTAGAGGCAGGAGCGGAGCCAAGTCACTAGTTCGGATCGAACCGGTATAAAGATTATTTTTGGGGAAAAAAAATTACAAGAATTTTATTACACCAAAGATATAAACATTTTTAAAATTTGAGCTGGGTTGGGACCAGGTTGGCCCCCTAGCTACGCCCTTATACAGAGGTCATGAGGGCGGACGAATTTACATTACAATTTAGAATATCTTAGATTTTTAGCATTTAAAAAGAATATAATCTAGAAAGATCAACTAACAGCTATACGAGAAAATTTCTTACACTACATGTCAAGTGCTCTAAAACTTCTCTTCAATTCTGAACAATATAAATTCACTACACCTCAATAAAAAATCACTTATCATTATGTTCATAGGACGAACGAGGCAACATATTTTAACATTTTTGTTAATCACAATACTTCATCGAAGTGGATAACCTTAGGTCCTTAACTAAGAATGCATTATGGGCAAGACATAATGGAATCATGTCTTGTCTTACCATGCTAAAAAAAGCTAGAATGCATTATGGGTCCAAATTTTTGCAAGTCTGAGACAGGTGTCCAAATTTTTGTACCCACTCTTATATCCACTTTGTACCTGTGAGGGTTTTTTTTTGTCTGTGAATCCCACTCACAGACAAAATATGTCTATGCAAATTATTTTTTCTGTGAATCGGATTCATAGACAAAAAACTCCTCACAAACATGGTGGGTATAAAGTGAGTATAAAAGTGTGTACAAGAAGAAGCTCTTTTTAATTTAGTCCGCGAGCAGCGGGCCCGACCCGCAAAATGAGCATGTTCACATTTTTAAAAGAGAAGGGCAAAGAGAGGTTTTTCTTATCGGCATGACACTTAAGTAATACTACGTATAAATTAAACTTTAATCAGAAGTTAAGAGAATGAGTTTCTGACTTAATTAAGTATTTGCAAAGCTCTATGAATTTTTACATAATAAACTATAATTAATTGATATAATTTGAATCTGAGACTTACTCTTTATATCACCTTATTTACCTGATAAGCTCTTCACATTTTTCAAACATCATATGTTGGTGCAAGCAATTAAGATAATGGATCGAGTATTTATTATATTGTAACTTGATCATTAGTTGTATTTCCAACCATAACAATAATCATCATCATGTTTCAGTCCATATGTTACATACTATACATAGAAAATTATGCATAAGATTTAATTAAAAAATCATTGGCATTAATCCAATTGTTCAACACGCGTTACTACTCTTATAAAAATATAAAACTTCTTACTATCACGAAAACCCACTTGTATTAATGACAATTGTTCATCAAAGTTTATCATCTTAGTTACCATGTCCTTAACTAAGAATGCATTATGGGCAAGGCATAAATACATCATGTCTTGTGTAGTTGTGATACCATGCTAAAAAAGCTACAATCATGCATAATGGGTCCGAAATTTTGCATTGTGGTATCCCTAAGAGACGCGTCCCATTTAATTCAATCCAAGAACAGCATCGGGACCAGGCCCTCATCAAAATGAGCATGTTCACATTTTTCATCTCTCAACAGTTGAATCGTCAATACTAGGGGTCCCTACGCCCAACCCCAACAAGGTACCGATGTATATGATAAGTTCTAAATCAAGATGACGAAGTGCATGTTTAGCATTTAGAAGTTTGCGGATACCTAGTGGATAATGAGTCATGCTTTTGTTAGTAATATACGGTTCGTGAATAATACAATAATACGTACGTTCGTGTATAATACGATACAATTATATAAAATACGGCTTAATATATGTTTCATACGTTCGTGAAATATATAAAGATACAGACGTGTTTTAAACGTTTCACATTTTTAAAATACGGCATATAATATGTGTCTTATATACTAATTTAACGAAAGAAATAAAGAGTTATCAGTACAAATTTGAATGCATAGGTACAATAAGTAATAAAAATGACATTGCCTATTTGAGTAGAAGTACGGAGATATTACCAAAGAATAGTTGATATTACTGTGATCGTGAGTTTGCTGAGCCACCGCAACATTTTTCGATCTCTTTGGAGTCTTGGTATGGGTGGAGAACAAAAGTAATACAATAGTAGTACAATAGGAATGTCGAAACAGATTAAGAATTTAAGAAGCTAATTTATTAAATGTAATGACTATTAAAAAATTAACAAACATATAAGGCATAAAGTTTTTTAAGCAATATAAATAATATTGAGCAGCTAGAGTGATAGACATTTCGTTTCAGTTGTATCACTCCATTAGGCTTCCGTTTAATTGTGTGTTTAAGAATAAAATACGTATTAATACATACAGTACGTGTGTTATACATTTTATCCTTAAAGTACGTGAGTTTTTCAGAATTTTCTGAAAAATTCATAAACGGGAGTATTATTCGTGAATAAAATACGTATCAATACGTACGGTACGTGTATTATACATTTTATCCTTAAAATACGTGAATTTTTCATAATTTTTTGAAAAATTCATAAACGGGAGTATTATACGCGAATTATACGTTTGAGTGTATTAT